TCGCATTTGGATAATAACACCTTGATGGTTAGAGCCGAGAGTCCCGACAAGCACGAGCTCATAGATTCAATGTCCCGGTAAAGTTTTAATGGGTTTTCTTGATGTCATAAGTCTCGAATTGTGTTTTACGTCTTACAATACGCTCGTGAACTGTTAAAAAATCTTATTAGTCTAAAACTGTACATTATAAAGTATAAGTACCTACATATAGTTTGTTCTCCCGGTTGCAAATTCATTTAAAGTCAACATTTTTACGCATCGTAATTTATATACATACATACATACCTAATTATTCAATTCAGTTCGTATGGAGTAATCAAGTCCGCTTTCCATTGTCATCATTCGCGTTAGCACTCACACTCATATATGTACAGGTAGTTCACTCAATCAATTATACGTTAGTTTACTATTTAACAATACAAATTATTATTCTCAACTATTGTCTTTCATTTCAATTAAGTAATGTGTGTTTAGCCCACTAAGAGACTATACACTCTCTTTGTGCCTTTATGTTTAATTCATTCTGTCTCCTGCAGTAATTCGACGAGGGCAGTGGAAATAATTGTTTTTTTATTTTCCTCTAATAATGCTCTTGCACCCGCTGATTACTTTCTCTGCATCACCCAAGGAACAGACTTGTAGAAAATGCCTGCGGCATTAAGTCCACCCATGTACTTATTTGAGTGCATAAAGATTTTTAAATAAATAAATTAATATTGTCTTCTGATTTATTTCGTTGCGGTAACTAAGATAACTATTCATGTCTCTGGGACGCGCCGGACTTCAGTGTTCCGGTATTTTCATGGTTGTATCTACTATATATATACAGGCTTACAGGATTTGGTTTGGTGGTTTTGGGAGGTTGCGGCGGGTTCCCCAATAAAAAAAAAATAGTTTGTTGACCTTTGTCATCGTTTTTTTGGAATCAAGTTTGGTCTTTTTATTAGTCTGATTATAGTAGTGTTACAATAAAAACTAGTGATGTATCGCTATATTTATCCCTAAGTAAATGTTTTGCCCATTTAGCCGTAGTATCTTCTTACATCGTCGCCTCGGACTGAGAGAAAAATTACTAGAATTAATTCCTGTCATAACAGCAAATTGGCTTATTTGTTTGGTTTAGCTAGATTTGCTAGGATCATGTTGGTGAGTTCTAAACAAATGGTGTATTATTTTTAAATTGGATACTTTTTGCTTGAGTGGAAGGAGGTTCTTGTAGTCTAAAAAAATAAAGTGACAGTGATTAACGCTGTTCTGGAGATTAATGTATTTTTATCTTTAAATTTCTTTTGTAGACAATATTTTTACTTAATTGTTGTTATAGTTCTTTAATGATGCAATGCAATATATAACTTGATCAGCTTATTAATAGAGTCAACGTGGTTTCGTGGTTTCAATGATAACGTACAATATTGTACATAACCTAGATTATACTATATTGTCGGGTATAGTGCAAATTTGGGAATCTACCATACGTAAAGGACGCGTATCTGCATTAGATCCAGTTTTACAGTGGAAGCTTAAAACTGGATAACCTTATTAATTTAATGAATTTGAAGCGCATTTCTATATATGAGTCAAAGTAATAATTAAGTATATATATATGATAAATGAGTCGAAGTGAACTCCTGTCAAGGCGGTCAAAGTCAAAGTCAAAGTCAAAGCATTTATTTCAATTAAACCATGGTTTGGTACTTTTGAAACGTCAACAAATACAAAATAAATAATAGTCTGTCAGTCACTCCGTCAGTGAAATTAGGTGAAGCTAGGTGCTCATTCCAAAACGTAGATTCGAATGGAGAAGAACGGATTCGAATGGAGAAGAACGCGGTGGTAGTCAATTAAGGTTTTGCGAGATTATTCATTTGATAGATACGCGAAAATATCCAATTGCAGTTTCGTGAATTAGCACTATCCCCAACGATATTACTCTACACCAAAGTACGCATTGCAACCAAAGCCTATTATAATGAATTTCCATACTTATTCAAATGTCTTCTCATTTTTCCGACCCATCAAATAGCTCACACATTCTATGGATTTGAAAGGAGCTTATACAGCGGTGTGCAATGTGGGAACGATGTGATGACAGTGCAGAAATAGGATATAATATATACAGGCTGATTTTATTGGTAATGGGAGCCAGCCATTCAGAGATTTTGTGTGAAAAGAGGATGGTGGTTATGGCATATGGCAAGTTTTATAAAAGTTTAGCTTTCACCAGCTGCTTCAACGCGTGGATTTGTATGTGAATAAGTGTGGGAGAGCCATGCTTCGTCACGAATGGGCCGGCTCGACCGGAGTGATACTATGGCCTCACAGAAAACAGACGTGAAACAATTCTTGTATTGTGTTTCGTCGTGTGAGTGAGGTTACCCCCTTTCCTATATACCCAATCCCCGAATCTTCAATAATCCTCAAATTTTTAACGGCCTATTCCATAAAAAAAATAGCCAGTGTACTTCTCTATAATGTACTCCTAACCATGTATATGAGCAAAATAAGAAGATTGGTAAATTAAATAAAGTGTTCAGAAGAACGTATTGTATCTAAAAGATAAACTTTCTTATACATAACATTTGTTGGGATTTGAATATAAGTGCTTACTATTGTACGTTGTTTAATTATTATTTGGGATTGCTTTGATTATAAGTTCATTACCTTTCTTTCTTTTTTTATGGATTAGGAGGCAAACGAGCAGACGGATCACTTGATAGTAAGCGATCAACGTCGCCCATGGACACCCACAACACCAGAGGAGCCATAAATGCGTTGCCGGCCTTATAAAAATAAATTCTTTCATATTATTAATTCTTTATGTCAGCTATTGAAAAGAAATATAATTCAATGTTAATTTAGTCGAATTAGAACACAATTTTTTGAATATTAATAAGTTAGATGTAATTAACTCGTCGAGTACCGTCATTATAGACACAATTATAGAACAATAGGTTGCGGTCACCGGTGACCGCTTGGTGTTTGACAGTTTAATAGTATCTTAGCCAAACCAATGTCAACGGGGGATAAATGAGTTTATTCATTAGTTACTATGTAATAAAGTCTTAAGTTGGAAGCAAGTTACAATGGAACTGACCTAACATATTGTTAAAAGTTCTTAAATAAATAAAGATTAAAAAAATAACATAATTGGTGAAAAGTGTTTAACATTACACATGCTTAGCTCTGCCTACCCGTTCAGAGATTAAAAGCGTGGCATTACTGAATAATTCGACAGCACCAAGTACTTAAGACAACATGTTATACATCCTTATACAAAATGTATAAAAGTTTATACATTGTAATAATTTACAAGTTGCCTGAACTCTTAACTTGGAAACCCTTGTAACTCTTGTAAGCAAGGTTTACGTAAAAAGTTTTGATTAAGCAATAGAGACTTCATTTTGAAACTCAATTTTGACACGGATTTGTTATGTTGTTTACATCCCTTCTTAGTCGTTCTCTTCATTACTGAATGTCGTGTCTAGTCTGGTGCACGCGTCACTTGATGTACAACCCTCCTCCAAGCGCCCCTGTCCTCTACGGTCTTTATAGCTTGAACTGTGAGGTGAGGTTTTTCATAGCATCTAGCCAAGCAACGGGTAGGTGAATGACCGAGGTCTTTTTCCGTTAACGCGACCAAATTTGTTTGACCTATTGTTTACATATACAGGGTGACTTGGTACTCGACGTATTCCTTTCGAGAGATGGTAATATAACTAATTTCCTACAAAAGTAGCCCTGAGGTCTCTGGTCCGAAAGTTTCTGAGATATTCAACATTTTCAGTTTTGGTGAAAAATCCCGATCTAACTATAAAAACATCAATAAATAAAAAAACTACTGCCTTGATTTAACCCATTGAAATTCATCCCCTAATTTTGTTCATACAAAAGTTGTCTCTAAACATTGGAAATCCCCAAGCTGTCACCGGTGACCGCTAATGGTTATGGGTTAAGTGATTTTAGGTTTAATTTGTTGTCAACACATCAATAAACAGTTATTAATACGAATACTATGCCACATATTATATTCAGCATATGGAGTGTGAACAAATCTTGTCTCAATACTATATCTGAGAAATAGAAGAAAAACAGACATAGCTAAAAGTGCATTTCAGCTGACGAGGCAATTAAATATAAATTTTAATTTCTCCGTTTTTCAATTGGTTTGGTATAATACGTCTTCACGCGTACTGCTAAGGAGTGGAATACTTTACGTGGAGTCTGTATAGTATTTCCTGAAGGGTGTTTTCGAGGGCCCGAATGTCTATCAAAAAAAGCTGGGTACGAGTGTATTTAAAAAACCGAAAAAAGTTTAATATGGCTTTGTTCAACTCAGTTTCGAACTCACATCGTCATTTTCAGTAGTTCTATTTGCGTTAACTACAGTTTCATTTTTACTTTCAATTGAATACAACTAAGAATGGAATACACCTACCTACTTTTACCACGTTGAGAATCATAAATAAATATGATAAGGGAATTAATTTTATAACCATTAGGATGAATGTTTTTGTTTATAGGCCCAAATGAAAAACAATAATTCAACTTCACCTATGTCCTTGACTTCATTAAACAAAGTTTTGGAAACCTTACAAACGAACGTCGTCGCGGCAAATTGAACTTTATAAAACAAAGTTTAAATATTAAAATTCTTCATTTAAAGCTGTTGATGTTGAACGTTTTTTCTTTAAAACCTGCTTTGGCAAATAATATTGCTTATTCAATACATGTCAAATCGTACCGTATTGCCGTTAAAAACAACTTATATTCTAAATTGATTCAATCATGAAAAATACCTATAAAGTATTTAAAAATAAAATACTTAAACATACCTCTAATATCAATAAGTTATCTATCACAGATGTTACGTACAAACTTGTATAAAACAACGTTAAGATAAAATGTCAATTCATATTCCGTTTTGAAAACCATCAAGACAAATACTGGCTGGCAATACAAACATAATGATCTGACCAATCGCGCGGCGTAATGAGACATACCCTCGATTGGACCTGAACTGCAGCAGGCGGGATTTGAGCCCGCGGCGCGGCAGAAATTTGGGGCCTCCTTGGGTGCTACCACACATACAACCTCTGTTAATTCTGTTAGTCTTCAGCTTGAAACACTATACCGCTGGCACACCGGCTAAATACCTTTGCTTTGTTACAAGTTCCAAAAAAAAAAACAACTGTCAGTATCTAAATTTCAAATATGACATGTCACCATAGACAAGAAACGTATTTTTTTGTAAATGCAAACTCCTTGGTTGTTCCTTGTATCAAAGCTTGGGTTTAACACTACAATGCCGCTCGCTCTTTACTGCGAGAAAGATTGAAGTCGGAAAACCTCTCGGAAAGCAATCTCGGGTAATTGTATTTTTACAAGGGCGCTGTTCGCAACAAAACAGGTACTTTCCCGAGGTAAGTGCGTACGTGAAGGGAGGGTTAATGAGAGCAGTATCGAATTTCCTAATTGAATTACTGATCGTTCCGGTCAGTTGCCATGTGTGCTCACTATTTCTGACAGTGTAATGTGAACTTTGATGACCATATTGTGTTAAAATATTTTTTTAAAAGTATTCTTGTTACGTTCCTGATAATAATTATGGTAGTTGTTAATTAAAATGAAGCACGTAAGCTATGAATTCTAGATTTGTTTTTTAAATATTAACTTGCTATATTTATTGTGTATTTGTACATCTGACCTTTTTGAAACATTCCTTTACAAACCTTAGTGTTACTATTAAAAAAACAATAGATTTTAAATTTAATTCTTTCAACTCGACGTAGGTAACATTTCAATTTTGGTAGAAATTATTTCTTTACCTGTAGTTAATTGAGTTTTTATCGGTATTTTTCCGAATTTGAGATCAAATTTTATTAGAAGTTCTACTCAAGTGGACTGTCCTAATTCGATAGAATATTTTATTCGATTCTCTGAACGAACTCGCTTAATCGAATAAATATAGCAGTTTAACATTCAATAGCTTTTAATTTAGGTTTTCTTGTTAACACTGAAATGTTCATTAATAACTTCGCAATTTTAAAATGGATAATCTATTTCTAAGTTTTAAAAAATACCGATTAAAAGAAAATCTTTAAATTCGTTAGATTTTTTATTGTTGTAAAGTGACGCGCAGATTTTGACACAAAAGAATTTTTGAAAAACGAATTTTAGTTTAACAAAAACCAATATGGCTGCAAACTTTTATACCCCGATTTTTAAACGATTATTCTTAGAATTTTTATATAAAATACCAGTGGAGCGCGTTTATTGATTTTATATCCTATACTCATGGTCCAGTAGCTTTCTATACAATTTTTTATTAGTTTTCAATACACTAAAGTCTATATCTATGGCTATTCCGCCATCTTTTTATATCCACGTATCACATAATTTTAAAAGTAGAACGTTATTTTTATGTCCCACATTTATGATGTTATAGGCAGTAAACTTAAGATTAAAAAGTTATTTTTATGTAGGTGGCTCTATGGAATTTTAAGTATTACTGGTAAATAAATGAATAAGATAAAAACTAATGTACTACCATAAAGATTACCGTTCCTTATTCCTTATTGGTGAAATAAGAAAGTGAATTCGTGTAATCATTAAACATAAATTCTTAATAGTAATTCGATTCCAATTTCTAATTACTTGCTCGCATTCTTGAAGAGTTCTGCTGATTTTCGCAGCGAGGAATTCCAGTTTTTAATGATCTAACTTTATACTAATGATTGCGGGGAACCGAAATTGGAATTTAGCGGTAATGAGAACATTTTTAAGGCTTTCTCTATACAACAAAGTCATTGTTTCGCCATTAACCTAAGCCCCCGTTTAAATTTAAATTCAACGTTGTTCTAATTACGGGGCACTGTTTTTAAATTCTTATTATGTATGGAAAGTCGCGGTGTACTTTTCTTTTAATTTTAATTTTATATTTACTTATTGTAGGCTTATAAAATATTTGTATTCGCCAAAGTTTTTCGATACAAAATTTTTTATTTATCAAAATGTAACATTTTATAAAAACAACCGAAACTCCGAAAGTACTCCTAACCGAATAAACAAGGGGACGGGACGCATCGACCTCGTTTTTGACGTCGCAAAAAAAAAGTTTCAACGACAATCATGACGAACCTTTTTTGTAACTGTCACCTCATTGAGCCTTCGCAGTTTGAATGTTGGTACTCCCAGAGTTTTGAAGTTTCAAACTGAAGTGACAACACCACAATGGTTTTAGGGAAATGTGAAATGTCCTTGAGAAGGTCACGAGAGGTTGTTTTGTGGGCGTATACGTCTGTTAGGAGAGAACGTTGAGTCGTGCTCTCACTTACACGTTTAAAGTGTCAATCATGAGAACCGCATTGGTTTTGAATTTCGAATGTAATTACCAATATTTGCAGAGAATCGATTGTAATTTTTTTTTATTTAGTGGGTGTATCTAATGAAAGTTAGATTGTATTTGAGACAGTCTTCGTCTCTAGAGTCCCTAGGGCTGTTTTCTTGATTCAGTTGTTGATTTGGTTACTTTTTCTGGCTATTGAATAGATTCATGTCCGTTTAACTCTAAAGAGAATGTGTATATTATAATGAAAAGGTCATTCAAGATTTTAAGGGCATTATGTCGCTAATGTATTACCTCTATATTGTAAAGACAGTTCTATGTTTTTATATTCCATGAATATTTAGTTTTTTTTTTCGTAGGTAAGATATTTTCGTTGCAATTTAACCCTCCATTCACGTTGCATTGTAAACGAAAAAGCTTCAAACATTAATTAGTAAAACCTAAGTAAGATATATCTTAAGCTGTGATATCAAGCTGAATCAGGAACATTGTATTCACAGTGTGCCCTTCGTGTATTTATATCAACATTTTGAGAGACATTAATATAGCTGGGTACAGATGGAATTAAAAAAGTATTACATTAACTTTGACAGTAAAAACGAAGTAACAACGAAGGATTTCTTTAATTGGTACATGAGGTGATTAATTTTAATGATAATTTTGATAAATCAATTTTGCATCAAAAAAAACATGTTCGTAGTAAGATCGTTTTTTTTAAGAAAACTTATTAAAAACCGTAGAGTACTGAAAAGTATAAAACACAATGTCAAAATCCTTATTTGTTGAGGTAAAAAAAATAAATTAAAAACCTTAATTTAACTCTTAGCTACATATAATTTTAATAGAAAACAAAATAATTTGGTCATAAAAATAAATTTCGGCTGAACTAATAATCAAATAAAATCTACTTTTAACCGAGTTACCAAAAAGGAGGAGGTTATCAATTCGGTTGTATGTTGTATTGTTGTGTGTATGTTACGCGATTACTCAGCCGTCTATGCACGGCTTTAAACATTTCTTTTTTTGCCAAAGATCCCATCTGTACCCAGCTTAATCATAAAAAGTCTCATAAAGCATGCATTAGTACTTACTCGGCGTTGGTCTCTGGAGTTGGCAGGTCCCCGATGGTGGTGAGAGTGAGGGTCGACCAATAGAGGGAGCCCAGGTACTTTCTCGTCAGGGTCGCATAGTCACCAGGCCGGTGGGGGTACACCCAGTCGCCCTGTTGAAGGAAATATGTTAATTATCAATATATATAACATAACATAACGCCTTTTATCACCGAAGGGGTATGCAGAGGTGCACATTATGCCACTGTACAATGCAACACCCACTTTTTACTATTTATGTTCCGAGTCTCATGTAATAGGGGGTCAGCCTATTACCATATACCGTTCACAATTCCAGACTCCGTGCTACTACTGAGATTTTTTTTCAAAACCCAGTAACACTTTGCCTGACCCGGGAATCGAACCCGAGGTCCCTTGCCCAGCAGTCGCACTTGCGGGCCAATGAGGCAATCCTATATCTCTACAGATGAATAAAATTGAAGTGTCTGTTTATAATATTAAAATAACAGCTTTTTACTAAATGCATATGAATACACATACGATATACATACCAAACTAATTTTTTTTTATAATTTTTGTCAGTCTGTCTGTCTGATTGTACTGGCTAATCTCTGGAATGGCTGGACCAATTTTGTAAGACTTTTATGTTTTTGACTTTTGTAAGGCAGGTAGCTGATATATTAAGAAGCAACATAGGCTACTTTTATTTTGTAAAATGGAAACAAGAAAAGGTTATCTTCTAAAATTTTAAATTAAACGCACGAAGTCGCAGGTAACAGCTAGTATCGAGTTAATTTTACGAAAATGACTTCAAATAATATTTAAGTACTTTCTTCTTGACAAAACCATGAAAAAAAAAATTGATATTCAACAAGGAGGACTTACGAAAAAGTTTTAATCCTTTTAAAAACAGCTTTTATAAAATATAACCAGTGTAATGGTTTTGAAATATCAAATAACTAACTACTTCCGCGCGGTTTCACACGCTCTGCTCAGCTTTTATTGGTCATAGCGTGATGTTGTCTATAGCCATCCTCGATAAATGCGCTATCGAACACAAAAAGATTTATTCAAATCAGACTTGTAGTTACGGAGATTAGCGCGTTCAAATAAACAAACATAAAAACAAACTCTTCCGCTTTATATAATAGTAAAAGATATGAGATAAATATATTTTTATATGATGAGGTCAGATGTACTAATACTAGTTTATAAGTTGTAGATGTCTTTACTAACCATATGGATTGTATTATCTGAATACATAAATAAATTATTATTATTATTCCATATATTTATTTAAAATTTCTCTAAAATTACACTTTTAAATACTACAGTATAAAAAATATTATTATTATTATTTCTTGAACCGTTTATAATTCTCCCATCTTAGTGGGGTTCATAAAAAGCACGGGCCGAAGCCAAGTGCGGTTAATTAAATTGAATGTTATTTCTATGTGTTTAAAAATTTTCGGGTTAGGCGACAAGTGTTTAAAATTACTGCCTTCTGAAGAAGGAGGTAGGTTGATGGGCTAATATTTAGAAACTTCTATTTGTGGAAATTTTTCTGTGAATTTGGAATGTAGTGGATCTAAGTAACCTCGGACTTTAGTATCTAAATATGTAACATAAAGGTAGGTGCGCCAGATGAACTCGTTCATTTCTCTTGTCCATCTCAAACGTGCGCGAACTTGGCCAGTGGTGGGTGCAAGATTGTTAGCTTCTGCCTCCTGCACAACATTGAATTGAATCTTCGCAACAGTGCAAAAAGTGACTTATTATCGTCCCAATTCAAACTTCTATAAAGTAGGCGCTAATTTTCAACAGCACCAAACCACTCATATTTATAATTCATGACAGTTATATATAGAACATTAGAAACGAGAATTCTTAGCGGGTTCTGTAGTAAAACCTCGGCGAGTGTCTGAGACATCCAGATATCATTTATATTCATGAACCGTCATAAAGCTGTGTCACCTACAGAATGATGTAAGTATAATATGATAGCATTACTCTTTTAAGGAGATATCTTTGACAACTGGTTGGGCAACTGGCTTCCGCGCAACGTGTCGCGGGTTCGATTCCCGCACGGAACAACTCTTTGTGTGATCCACAGATTGTTGTTCCGAGTCTGGGTGTCGTGTGTATGTGAACTTGTACCACGATACAGGAGAAAATTCTAATATGGGGCAATAATAAAAAAAAACTTTAGTAATAGTACTGATTTCTATTTTAAGTAACATCCCTATCTTTATATCCTACTACTATTATAAAGGCGAAAGTTTGTAAGTATGGATGTATGGATGTTTGTTACTCTTTCACGTAAAAACTACTGAATGGATTTGAATGAAACTTTACCACAATATAGCTTATACATCAGAATAACACATAGGCTA